AGAGAGAGAGAGAGAGAGAGACAGTGAAGGAGGGAGGGGAGGGGGAGAGAGAGAGGCTTGAAGGAGAAAAAGTGCTAGGGGTGGACAGAGGGGCTGAGAGGCAAAAACAGGTCGATTTTGGGAAAAGTTGAGAGCTAGAAGTAGGTAATATAGAAGAATACCTTTTTTCCTTTGCAAACTTCAATGTGACGGAGACTGTATAAAATCGATTCTGTTTGGTTGGTTTTTTGTTGCTGTTCCAAAGGAAGGGGGCAATGTGGAAGTCAGTAGATGAGAAAGGCTCAGCCCTCCTGGGGTGCACTGCAGAGCGAGGGTTGGTGGGCTGTTCTCAGGCTCGCCCTAGGTGAGTCCCTACCCTGGAGTTAGGCAAAGGACTCTGTTGCAGCTGAACTTAGTTTCTTGCGTTTGACGGCTGCTGCTTTTTTCGAAGTATCATTGTGGAGGTTCCAGGCTCTTTTGTGCTTTTCCCAGAACAAGAATCTCGTTGTTACACAGCCAAGTTTCTAAGGACATACTGACTCCTTACCTATTGTGTATTTCCTCTCTGGCAGGATCCAAGTGGTTTAATCATCAATTTCCCCCCCATCCACCCTGTACCCTTACTTAATTTGTAGCTTTCTAATCTGATTGCGGTGCGCTTTCTCAAGAGCAAAACACAGCTTTAAACGCAAAAGTGTTAAAGCTGCCTGGCGTAGAGAACGCTTTGTGCAGCATGTAATTCATTTATATTAAAGAAATGACAGACATCCGATTTTTTAGAAACACGTGTCTCGTGTTTCCGTATCGGAATCAGGGTCTTCTCCTTTTTTAAACATTTTAATTCTTGTCCAAGCCTTTTTGGCTTTATTAACAGTACAGCTAGAAAGGAAGTTGTAGGCTGGCATCCTTGTGTGCATTTTAAAAAGGAGGAAAAATTGTCATCCTGAGCAGACGCAGTGCTTTCAAAAGTGAAAGTGAACTCCTTAGCCAGCTGCACACGGGAACTACTTGTTACTGACAGCCTCTTTCTCTTTTGTCTCCTCGGGTGTGTCAAAGGCAAATGTGCCTCCAACTTCTCACTCTTAAATAGTTGATCCCTGTTACACATCTGTTGTAGATGAACACTTAGCGGTTGAAGATTGTTTTTAAATTACCAAAAAAAAAAAGTGCCCACTTCTCAAATAATCTGAGGGCATCTTTTTAGTCCAATCTATTTCATTCTATCATGCCATCTTTCATCGTCCTGGCCATGCTTTCATTTTTCATTTTACATAGAATTTTTTTTTTAATGTGAGTGGGTTATGTGGCCGGAAGTTTATAAATATCAATCTCTGATTTTAAAGGAACATGAAAACCGTGGCATTGCGTGGCTAGTCCCCTCCCTCTCCTGTTCCCTTCTGGTCAGCTTTTCCTGGGGAGAGAACAGTACATTCTCCCTAAGCTAGCAGGCTTGGGGCCGAAGCCTCCTCACGGCTCGCCTGAGAGCTGCTCCCGCACTGGGGTCTGGTGTCCTGGTGGAAGGGTCGCAAATGTGCTGTGATGCATGGCACCTGTCAGGTACTCTTGGAGCAGCCACTTGCTGGATGTGCCTCTTTTGTTGTGGTGACTGGAGCTTTCTGCAAAGAGCAAGGGCTGTAGAGGGTGAGAGAAGAGACATCAGGCAAACTGGAAAGCTTTAGGGAGACCAAGGCTAGCCGCTGTCTCTCCTGTTTCATGATGTGGAGGTGAATGCCAGGGGTAGATTTGAGTTCTCTCTCTTTTCTTCTTTTCTTTTCCTTTCCTTCCCTTTCTTTCCCTTTCCCTTTCTCATTAATGTTTAATTCTCTTCTTTTTCTCTTTCTCTTTCTTTGTCTATCTCTTCCTTCCTTCCTTCCTTCCTTCCTTCCTTCCTTCCTAAAAGGTTGTTCCGTCGAATTGCTCTCTCCCCTCAGGACAAAGGAAGTCTGCTGAGAGTCTGTATAAGAGATACATCTTTTAAACAGGAGGGCAGAGGGCTGGGAATCTTTGTCAGTTTCATTCTGCTGACATCACCATGGACTTGGTGTTCAAGCTCACAGCCAGGCAAAACTCAAGTACATTTCCCCTTTTGCAAGCAGCTGCAAAGTGAGTTTTCCTTCCATTAGTAAAGGAACAATGAAGGGAAAGCAAACCCTGCATCTAAAACCTGGCCAATGAAAGAACACTGGAATGGAAGCCAAGAATCCTGCTGTGGTGGAAGGGGCATAGACTCATGAATCCACCACAATCCGATATTTCACTTCTTTTTAGCAGCCCCATCAGCAGAGAGAAATAATGGCTCCCGAATCATTTCAGAATCAAAAAGTTAGAGTGATGCCTCCATGATACTTCATCATGCCAGGTAATGATCGCCCGACTTGATTATAGCTTAACCGTTCTTAATTATTGATAGTCTATCTCTTAATCATGTTTAGCAAATGAGCGGTTTGGTATAAAACATTGGAATTTGGGAGTATTCCGAGACATCACATTCCTATTTGGTCATTTTTTTAGTAAAATGGTTCTCAAAGTCTATCGGTAGCCAGGGAAATTCCAGGAAAAATGTGAAACTGACTTATTTGCAGGACTTTTGTATCATGTGTAGTTCTGGAAATGAAGGAAGTGTAACACTGCCTGGTGTTTTACTAGAATTACTTTTATTTCAGTTTTTGGTGTTCCTTTTTACTCTCATTTTTGGCATGAATTCTGGTTTAGCTTTACAAAAGAGTTGGGTGACAAAAAGAAACCAACCACAAAACAATCAAAGAATCTCTATCCATTTAAAATAATCTTATTTTCCAGACGCAGGCGAACTGTTTGAAGACGCTGGCCTCGCAAGATGGCAACAGGTTTTAAGAAAAACAGGATTCATAAGAAGTTCCTTTTTTTTTTCAGGTAATTATATTTCCCTTTAATTTCCCCCGAAATTTTCTCAAGTATTACACTGTAGGCCTGCTTGAATGATTTAATTATGCAGAATAACTGAATTTTAAGCTTGATTTTTTTTTTTTACAATAGCAACTAGTTTTGTAATCTTCATAGCCAGTGAGTAGAGCTGTCACTGCATTTAATTCTACAGAGTTCAGGAAAAGTACTTTGAAAGTTACAGCTTAACACTGCTGACCTCCTTTGACAATGACTTAGGCGGAACTCATTTGAAACCATCAGGCACGGTTCTTAAACTCTGTGGCTACCTTCAGTAATTGTATTTAGAAATAGAAGTATTAGAGGATTGTCTCTAAAAAGCCTCGCATGTGGTCTGAATTCCTAGAAGATATAGCTTATAAAAATTGTGTAATGACCAATGTGTTATAATAATTGCATAATAGCTGATGTTTTAACTTCAGTCCTGGGTTAGTAGCACTGTGTATGTGGCATTGTATGGAACTGTCCTTGCACATGTCCAGTGAGTAAGATTTGAGCCCAGCTATCATGATAGAGGTAGTTTCCTTTCAGTGTTATTGAAGGTCTTTTGCCACTTAACGATGTTTAGTAACATAAATGATACATTTTCTTGATAAATTACCTTACCCTGCTTCTGCTGTTGTTTATGTGGGCACTAGCCTACGTTTTCCAACTCAGTTGTTACTGTTACTATCTAAGAGAGCCTCAGAGAGTCTCGCTTAATAAAGCAGGCCAGACTTTCCTCTGAAAAGAACCCTCATTTTTCTCCTCAACACAAAGAAGCTTCTTAAAGAAGATATTCAATTAATATTTCAGGGAAGATGTCTACTCCCAAACAAACCGTTCTTCCTCTAAGTCTGTGTTTGACTTTCTCTCTCTCTCTCTCTCTTTTTTTTTCCTGCAACTTTGGCATCTTCTGATTTCTCTTTTATTTTCTGAAATTAAAACTCTGGATTGTTTGGAAGTTAATACTACAAACCCTTTGGAATGATTAACTTTTCTGGGCCCTATATTTTCCAAAACAAACAATCAAAAAGATTCAGGGAAGCCCCGAATTGAAACACAGCATTGGGCTCCCTTTTATGGACTTAGAGGGCGCAGATTGACGAAGGTGATGCTTCTTGGAGGTTTAAATGTAATACTTTGGCAGATCTTCGTCTGTTGCTAACAAGTATTGCATTATATCTTTTTCAGAAATGATACAGTTAGTTCTCATCACTTGGGCAGCCTATTCCTTTCTATCTAATAGGAGCTCGTATGTCACATTCATTCCAGCATCCTTAACAGTGTTCAGAGTGCCCATCCTCATGGCCCCATGCGCTCGTCAGAGAGATCAAAGTAAAACAAGAGGCTTGGTGATTAAAATCTTTTCTCTTAGAAAGGAAATGAATGTTTTAAAATAACATGAAGTTAAAAACCATTTTGAGGTGACCCGTTCAGATCCCCCTTGTTTCCACTTGCTGTTGTTGTCTCTTTGGATCTAAAAGTCAAGCCACGGAGCTGCAGATACATTCTGTCTTGGCAACCTTTGCAGCACCAGTAGGCTCCAAGCGGTCATACGCCCAGCTCCATCGTGATTAAACAGGCAGACAATGAGACATCTATGAGCAGTTGCCTCTCAGTCCCTATTCGCCTTACTGTTGGTTTCTTGTTTTCTTGTTTCCACCTTTTAAGTTGTGTTCATAGTGGCCTGCTCCTTTCTCTGAATAATTCCCAAATTCAGCTGTCTTTTTTTGCTACTAGTAGGGCCTCCCAGATTCTTGAGACAGGAATGAATGTTCATATGTCAAGGCCAACATCAATTTTTTTTTTTTTTTTTTTTGCAAACCAGAATCTGTAGACGTTGCTCACAAAAATTGTGAAAGTCTCTTTGTAGGTCCTACAAAGAGATGGAAGCATATGTTTTCCCCAGCATCTAGGGAGCAGGATTATTTTATTTTCTGTCATTTGTCCTTGAAGTGCACAGGATTAAGTCTGTGTCTTCAGCGAACTTCACAAAAGGAGCCATTAAGGAACGTTCATGGTCTTGGATGCTCTGTCTTTATTTGTAGAACACTGGTTTTGAAGAAAGGATGTTTTGACAAACAAAATCCTTTTATAAGAAGTCCTTAGAAATAGATTCATCCCCACATCCTGGAACCATTTGGGGGCGAGCAGTTACACAATTGCTTTGCTAGTTCAAATTTCATAAAATATACCCAGACTTGCTCAGTGTTGGAGTTTAGACCAGTAGTGGGGGTGGGAGGATGGTGAAAGACAAACTTTTCCTGAATTTGAATCTTCGAATTTAAAATAGCTGAGAATCTCCTCCGGAATGATTTTCAGAAAATACTTACAAGCCCATTGGCGGTGCTTGCTGGTTAATTACAGCTGTCTTTCCAGCTGCAAATAGGAAAGGAGAATTTCACCGTCTTTTTTCACGTAATTACAGGTATTTAAAAGGATGAACTTGCATCTGGATTCTCATAGGTTTCTCTCTTTATCTCCCTATAATTTGAAGGATTTTCTTTATTCTACTGATTTGCCCTCCTGCTCTCACTTTGCTCAGATTGTGTGTTAAGATCCTAATAAATGAGTCTTCCATAATATATTTTTTTAAGGTTTTAAGTTGCATTTTTTTTTTTATTGAAGTACCATCAGTTACCATGTGTCACTTTCTGGTATGCAGCATGATGTCCCATTCATGCGTATACATACATGTGTTCGTTTTCATGCTGTAATATTAACCAGTAAAATAATGAGGTTTACCTAAGCCCACTGTGCCTGTGGAGTATGTGATAACCGAGGGAGGTGGGCGGGGGAGAGCTCAGAAGATGCTGCTTCCTTTTTGCCCTTTTAAGGGCAGGATGAAGGCTTTCCTTTTCTGGCGTGAAACGATAGAATGGCAGGCCCTTTGGCTGGACTAATGGTCTTAACGTTTCATTTTCAGACATGTCACACCCCCACACGAAAGAAGACCCTGAGGCCTGTTGCCACAAACCCGTAGATCCGAACTTGTGGTGATCGTCTGCACAAGCTTGTGTCTATAGGTATGTGTCTGTGGGCCATCTCACAGACCGCCGGCTCTGCCCGTGTGCCGTCACAATCCCCTCCAATTCCTTGATTCTCTCTCGCTTCCCCTTACTTGGCTTTGAAAGTGGTAGACGTGGAAAGAGGGGCTGGACATGGGAAGGAGGAAGGAGACCTCTGGTTCTGAAATGAACGGTTGCTCTTGGGTGATTCATTTATAGGCTAGCCCGCCATTCCCTTCTCTCTTAAAACTTGTCTTCGCTCTCCAGTGGAGAGGCCGGGCTTGCGGGGAGGCAGCGGGAATTTGGGCGACTCGGGCAACTTACTGCTGAGTGATGAGTGAACAGATCCACACGTAAGGGTTTGTTTTATTTTCTGTAGGTTTTCAAAGTCATCACTTTCTTTTCCGGAAAGTGACAGAGACTCGTTTACAAGACCCACTTCACCCGGCTTGAGTGGTACCTTGTAGTGACCCTTCCTCACCCATCGTTCACAGGCACAGTCCGATCAGTCCTTATCTTTCAAAATAAAATTACTGAGGGGGATGGACGTGCTTCGCTATTTATACTTCTGTAAACACCCAGCACTGTAAGAGAAAAGAACTTTTTATAAAGAAGAAATAGCTCATTTAGGTCCAACTTCGTATTTGTCCCAAGCTGTTTTATAACTTCACCGTGTTTGAAAGGCTGGAATGAAAATAATTTTATCCCTTTGCCTCTTAAATGTCACCGTTGTGCCAGGATTAGAAAGCCAGACTGATTCCGGATCAAAGCAAAACTGGCCCTATTTGTCTCATTCCAACAATGTGAGCTGAAGAGTCTGTAAACAGAACCCAGGGTGAAAAGTTGATCAGATGTGGATGATTCTTAAACTTCTACATTCCCTTTTGGTCAAACACAGTGCCAGGAATTCCCTTAAATTTATTTATTTATTTTTTGTTTGTTTGTTTGTTTTCGATAGGAAGTAGTTATCGAGTTAACATCAGCCAGAAGTTTGAAATTCAAATGGATATATTTTATTTCACTAACTGCCATCTCCTCTTAAGAGCCACATTGTTCAGGGATAACTGGTGCTCCTTCTCCTCTCAAGCATATAAAAATGAAATTGTGGATGTCGTAATTAGGAAGGCCCAGATATAGACGACATTGTTTAAAGATGTCTTTGAGGAACCCAAGCTCTGCAGACACTCCACCTCGAAGATACTGTGAATGTGAGTTTCCTTTGGGTTTTCTCTGCACAGCGTTGGGAAGGGTTCTCGGTAGATCTGGACTTCTGGCTTGCCGAGAAAGCACTGCTTTATTCTGGAATGTTGGAACATTGCATCCAGAAGAGAAAGACTGTCCCCGTTGGTGTGTATCATGTATAATTGTTTGCCCAAGGCCATCACCTACCCGTTAAGCAGTCTATTCGGTGGTTTTATAACGCCTCTTTGAAGTGGTTGACTTAGAATGGATCAGCTGCTAGCAAATGAAACATGTACCTTCCCTGGATGAAAACTTACGTTTGAGAAAGGCAAAATCACGTCTCTGCTTATCATCCTTTTAACCCGCTCTTAAGTAGGCTCCCAGTAGGACCAGTGGAGTGCACAGATCCAGGGGATACTGAGCAGCCTAAATTCCCCATACAGGGACAACATCAGGACTGTAGGATGGCCTTAGGTGACGGTCAGTATGTTTCCTTTAAGGAGGTTTTTTAAACCCATCACCCTAAGAAAAAAGATTACGCAGAGCAATCTTTTCCAAGTTTCTAAAAGACCTAGGATATTATGATTTGATTCACCTGGCTGAAAAATACTCTAGTGGAAAGCCCAAAGCCCCTGGACACTGGCCACAAGAAACAGGATATTAAATATTTTACATGATGATGAAATTCAGTATTTTTCCCTTCTTCCATGTTCATGAATGAATAGTTCTGTAGCTATTAATTATCCCCTTGGGGCTCCTTCAGAATGGACCAGATATTTTACAGGAAGCTGCAGAAAG